GAAAGAAAGAAAGAAAGAAAGAAAAGAAAAGGAAATGAAGAGAAGGCAAGGCAAGGCAAGGCAAGGGAAGGGAAGGGAAAGGGAAAGGGAAAGGAAAAGAAACTGTTGAGAGGGTCAGGGCCGGCCTAGGGGGAGGTAAGCAAGGTACATACATAGAGTGTAACTGTACTTGCATGTGCACACTGAGAGACAGGATCTCCTTACATGTTGTGCCCTAGATGCCTTGTTTACTTCACCCTAGTCCCGGCCCTGTGGTAAAGACATATGGCATGACCAGGCTAAGGCAGTAACCTGAGAGAACTCCGAACATTGAAGGGGCAGGCAGCCAAAGGCGAAGGCGTTGATTCAAATGGTGGATGAATAACAAGAGTTAGAGCAAAGAGAAGAGCCAGTAGAGTGACTTCATGGAAAGAGTACCCTGGAGAGAGAGAGAGAGAGAGATCAAGCATTAGAAATGTTTCAGAGCGGTCAAGAAGTACATAAACTCATAATTATCCTTTAGGAAGTCATTGCTGATCCTGACAATAGTTATTTCATTATATGGACGGGAGTAAAGAAGGGAAAGAGCCAGAGAAAAGTGCATTAAGGCACTAGAAGGAATTGAGAAACAGGAAGGCAGGCCAGCATGAGAGGATCAGAGAGAGAGAGAGAAAACCTGCGTACACCACGTACCGTGTACACGTATTATCTCACGGATCCTGTCAACAACACTGTGAGGTAGATATTCTTATTATACCACTGGTATACCCACTTTGCATTTGACCAAGTTAAGCTTCAGAGATTTTGTCACTTGCCTAACGTCTCACAGCCAACAGCGGTAAATATGTGGTTCAAGTCCAGCTGTGTCTGATCTGACTGCAAACCCCTGTTTTTCCACTCAGCCCCACTGTAATTGGGGGCAGACATAGATGCTACCGTCGGGGTGCCCAGGGCCAAGCAGAGAGGAGGGCCTGGCGGGGCGGCTGGGAGGCATCACCGTGTGGTGGCATCCATCTGCAGCTCGGTGGTTTTCTCCCACAGTGCTCAACGGCCCCGGGAGGGAAGACAGGCAGATGGCTGCACTCATCTAGAGCCTGGCATTGCAGGGTATTGCAGCACGGAGGAAGGAGTGAAGGGATTTGAGAAAGTTGGCAAGAGTTGAAGAGAAGAAGTCTAAGCTAAGTTCCAAAAAAACGTGAAGTCCAAGGGGACTCGCAGAGCAAGAGAAAAGTGAGGTTGTCAGGGGACTTGAAGTCTCCATTAAGTGAACAGCTGCAATGAAAATAAGGGAATACAGTTTAGCTCCTCTTCTTCTTCCTTCTTCTTCTTCTTCTTCTTTTTTTTTTTTTGAATTCATGAGAAAGCAGTCCCAAAATGCCTGTAAAGTTCATCTTATAAGCACCTGGTCCTGTTCAGATCGTATCAGATAGTCCCCTGAAGAAAGGAACAACTCCAGCAACTTCTTGAGTTCCTGTTATTAATTATATAGATATGTTTTCAATATCTACCTAGAGAGACATACACAGAGACACAGAGAGAGAGAGAGAGGCAGAGAGAGAGACAGTGGGATTTGAATGTGGGGAAAGAGGGAGGGAAGGAGAGAATTAAGTTAAAGACCTCAATCCTCCAGAGTTCAGGAGTGTCCCTAAAGGCTAGGCTGTCACAGCTAAAGTCAGTCACATCCTGAATCCCGGAGAAAGACTTAGGTCACTGGAATTCCCTTAACACATGCCAACCGAAGGTGCTGTGAGTCTGAAAATAAACAAATTAATGCAGTGGTTTTTCTTTAACATCTAGTGAGAGACACTGGGGTTGCATTTGCAGCTGGACCACAATTCGGCTTCTGTTCTTCCAAGAGAAATTTGTTGCAAAGTCATTTGGGCAACCGCATCCTGAGAATGCAGCCCAGCCTGGGTGATGGATCACCTTGCAAGGATCTGCAATTAGCTATTTTCAAATGATGACAAAGTGTGAACTTAACTGCTTATTTGGGAACTTCCTCTTTCATCCAAAGTAAATTCAAATACAATTGAAAATCTGACCTTTCATTACTGGAACTCTCTTGACTAAAAGCCAAATTGAATTTTAATTCCTAAATCTCCATGTGTACACAGTACCATGAGGACATCACAGATTTTGGTTCCATGCCCCAAAGATAAATTGGCTTTGGGATTACTTGGGTTAAAAACAAAGCCTTTCTTAAGAGATGTATTTAATTTTCATGATGTTTTCTTTTTCCTAAAGCTAAAGAATTGTTCTTTTGAATTTCAGTTTTTCTTGATCGCAAAAATGCCACCAAAATTCTGAATCGGCCAAAGAGGTATAATTCAGGTAAACTGGAAGAGTTTGTTCAAGGTAACCTTGAGAGAGAATGTATGGAAGAAAAGTGTAGTTTTGAAGAAGCTCGAGAAGTTTTTGAAAACACTGAAAAAACCGTGAGTATCTCCACATAATATTCTTCAGATGCAGAGCAAAGTACAGAAAACTAAAAAAGAAAAAAAAAGGAAGAAAGAAACTTCTCTTTGGAATTTTAAATTGTCTACCCATATATATGTATTATAAAAGTTATAAAAGGGGAAGAATCGAATCCAAAATATTTTGAGTACTACCACTAACTTGTCCTCTTTTTCTTTATAGACTGAATTTTGGAAGCAATATGTTGGTAAGCAATTAATTTTTTCCTCTAGCTGGTATAGGAGACATCTGAGAATTATGTATCATTTCTCTGTGTAAACAGACAATATATTAAACTCTGTCAAAAGGGTCTGACTCTTTTACCCAAGACTGAATGGTGATATACGACAGGTTTATGCCCGTGGTGGGGGGGGTGGCTATGAGCTGGCAGATAAGCTTACTCCTCCCTAGGGCTTCAACAAGACATTGTTGTACTCCAGGCAGCTGGAAGGAAGAAACTAAGATGACTGCACCTGGGGACTGAGAGGGAGTTTGCAGTCTTTGGCAGAGAATGTGAAAACGCTGACTGACTTAAATGTTTATTGCTTAGAAGTCCTCCTTATGATGGCCTACAAGGCCCTCCATAATCGTCCCGGCCCTCCGTTTCCACTGGCCCTCAGATCCTCCTCTCCTGCTCTCCTCCTCACATGTAGGGGTGGGGAGGTTTGGGGGGAGGAGAGGGGCAGCCATCTTGGCCTCCCTGGTGCTCCCAGCACACTCCAGGCATGCTTCCGCACTGATCTCTGACCTGACTGTTCCTTGAACGTGGAATGCTCCTCTGCCAGGTTCCCCTAGGCTCGCTCCCTCCCCTCCTTCAGCTCTTCACCCAAATGTCACCATCGCGATGAAGCCTACCTACCTTGACCATCTGTTAGTACTTCAACCTGCCTCCCTATAACCCCATCACCTAGATACCGCAACCTCCTCTCCTATTTTTCACAGCACTTTTCACCATCTGAGGGAACATATAATGAATGTTCTTACTTCTATTATTTATTATCTATTTTCCCCACCTCATTAGAATGCAAGCTTCACATTGGCAGGGGTGTTCAAGTGTTTGTTTATTGATGTATTCCTGGTACCTTGAACACTATCTGGTACAGAAGCACTGAATAAATATTTGTTGAATGAATTGACCAAAAGGAGGAAAAGTCAAAACTTCCATGACAATCGAGCTTTAAAACTAACGTAAAATCCAGCAGCAGGATTTTGAGGCAGCGTACATTCCAGAGGTTGACTTATCTAAGACCATCCACACGGACAGAACCTAGACAGCAAATTCACTGAGTTCCAGCAAGTGGAGATGCAGTGCTATGTTCCACTTGCTATTCTGGAACTTGTTCATACTCTAGTAACTCAATTTCTCCACTTTTGTTTTTAACTCCTGAGGGAGGATGAGGTCCACTCCATTACATTGACTTTCTCAGCCTTTCCTTGCTGTTAGTAATGAAGACTACCAAGCCAGTTCTCTACTCAGGTGTTCCCCTGCCGTTAGTCCAAATGAGACTTTTTATTCCTTATTTCCATTATATTTAAAACTTGAAATCTTGTGATTTTTTTTTTTAAGATTTTCTTTTTAAGTAATCTCTACCCCCAACATGGGGCTCGAACCTACAGCCCCAAGATTAAAAGTCGAACACTCCACCAACTTGAGCCAGCCAGGTGCCCCTTGTGATAGATTTTTAAAGCAAATCAATTTCTACTTCCCCACCCCACCCCCCCAAAAAAAATCCAGGCTGTATTTAAACTCCCATGACCCCTTCGTTTGCCCACCCCACTCCCCAGCAGGGGTTGGTCAGAACCTCTTAAGCACCATATTTTGAAGCTGAGCCCCTGCCTTCTGGGTCAAAGGCCACGTTGTTTACTGTATCCAGGGTAAAGATATCTCGGAAACCTCAGGGGCATGATTCTGTCACCACTGCTTCATCCACCAAAAACGAGAACAAAAAAGCAAAAAGAAAATAACTCCCTGCCTCTTTTCAGTTGCAGCCGAGATTCCTAACCACCCCAAAATAGCCGATGCTATTTCTTACCCTGTGGGCTTTCACATACTGCAGAGCGCAAGCCCCTCATGCCTGCCTTATCCTCTACTATCAACAGCCTGGTGGAAGAAGAAAGATCGTCCAAGCACATGAGCTAGCTAGCATCCGTCAAGCACTTTACAGTTTACAGAGTGCCTGTCATATTTAATCCACACACCAACCCAGTGAGCAAAGCATTATTAGCCTCAGTTTACAGAGGACACTGAGGCTTAGGGAGGCTAAAAGACTTGCCAGAGGTCATCCAGTTGGGGAGTCACAGAGCCCAAAAGAGTACCCAACTTCTCTAACGAGCCAGGCCTTGCTCTCACGATCACCCCTCCTGGCCTTCAGATCTAGATGTGGTTACTCATTAAACAACCACCTAGGAGCCTTCAACGGAATCTCTCACTCGTCAAGGTCTTGTCCCTTGTTGTCTTTGACCCCTACTGTCTGTGGCTTTGCCTGAGCCCAAAGTACACACAGACAAGCACCCAAAGGAGGACTAAATGCAGGATAAAATGACATTCACTTTAAAGATATGTCTCAGCAAATGAGTTGCTGTGTAGTTGGCTGCAAGCCCAGACCCTTTCAGTGCAACATCCTAAATAATGCAGATCCGTTGGTCTATAATATAAAGTGCAAATGTAGCTCGTTTTTTAGACCAGTTTGAACATCAATAACAATAAACCAGAGATAACGTATTTTGTTTTCATAGAATTGGAACAAATTGAACTATCTGTGCAAAAGCGCACTGGATCAAGGGGCAGAGGGGACAAGGTCTAATCTTTACAGCAAGCAGATTTTCCAGGGAAGGACTACGTCTGAGAAAGGGATAGGAGCCCTTAGTCCATGGGAGCTGGATGCAAACTCCTGACCAAGAGCGTGACAGATGAGCTGCTCCTGCCCCTGGGGCAAGCAACCTACACACTAGATGGCGGGGTGGGGGGGTTGCTCCAAAGTCGGACCAAGAATTAGAAATTTCTCTTTCATCACCCCCTTTCTCTTTCTTTCATTCTTAGGTCATCTTTACCTCTTACTCTGGCCGACCTAGCTCTTCTTTCTTTCTTCAGAGCTGTTTCTCTTAGTTCAAGGTGTGTACCCATCTCCCTTGTGGTTCTATTCATCCCTTTCTCCCGCAGCTTCCTTAGCAGTATGGATTGAGCAAGAGCTTTCAGAAACAAGACTCAAAGGCTCCCTTCTTATCCCGACCCTTCTCCACTTGCCTATTCCTTCCTCCTGGTTTCCTACCCCAGGTGTCTTCTAAGGCTCTCAAGAACTCCATGAGTGTCCAAACTTCAGGAAAGGTAGAGAGGAAACACAGCCGACCTATACATAAATAACGCAGATCTTCAGAACCTTTTTGTTTTCGATTCTTTGTGAGAAAAGCAGTGTCTCATCTGAAACTAATGTAACACTATATGTCAACAAGCAGGAATTAAAATTAACACTTAAAAAAAAACTAAAAAAATAAGAATTTAAAAATTAAAACTTTAAAAAAAATTTAAAAAAGAAAAGTTGCTTCTCACTTTACCTAGACCATTTGGGACCTAACTCAGAGACAGCAGAATACCTTTCAGCAGGGAGAGATGCTTCTGGCATCTCTTCCATTGTTTTGAACCATTACTGCATACTATACTTTAAGAAGTTAAATGATACCAGAAAGAAGTAGATGCATTTGCTCCAAGCCGAGGCTGCCAGGGCTCTGAGTAGAAGTCCCATCTGCTCTCCAGCTCAGCATGTTCTGCAAGACCTGCCACGACAGGCCCGTATGACAGAAATACCAATTGTTGAAGGGATGGGGTTTGATTCAGAGCTAATTTGTCCTCATTCTCAAAGAAAGGAATGAAAACCCTTCTCCCCCTATGCTCAGATAGTCCATTTCTAACCTCCAACATTCTTCTCCCTCTTCCTAGGACGGTAGTAGCCTGAAAACCTTTGTTTGGGTTGCTCTTAGAAACTCAGGAAGACAGGGGGCATCCCATAAGCAGCAGCGTCAGCAGTTTTGACCCTAAAATCAGGCTCCCCTCCCCATGAGTCTGTGCACGGAGGCATTCTAAGCAGTTTATTTGCTAATTCAATTTTCTTAACCTATCTCAAAGATGGAGATCAATGTGAGTCCAATCCCTGTTTAAATGGTGGCATATGCAAAGATGATATTAATTCCTATGAATGTTGGTGTCAAGCTGGATTTGAAGGAAAGAACTGTGAATTAGGTAAGTAACTATTTTTTGATTACTCGTGGTTCCACACTTCCCTGTGGAACCAGATGAAACTAGAAAATGCAATATTTATGTATCATAATTTTCTCTTAAAAACATATTCTTATCGTGGTAAAGAACACTTAACAGGAGATCTATACTCTTTTTTTTTGAGATTTTATTTTATTTACTTGAGAGAGAGAGAGGGAGAGCACAAGCAAGGGGAGGGGCAGAGGGAGAGGGAGAAGCAGGCTCCCTGCTAAGCAGAGAGCCCGATGCGGGACTTGATCCCAGGATGCTGAGATCATGACCTGAGCAGAAGGCAGACGCTTCACTGACTGAGCCACCCAGCTGTCCCAGGAGACCTATAGTCTTAACAAATTTTGAAGTGTACAATACAGTACTGTTCACTCTAGGCACTGTGTTGTTCAGCACATCTCTAGAACTCCTTCATCTTGCATAACTGAAACTTTATACCCGCTGAACAGCAGCTCCATTTCCCCTTCCCTCGGCCCCTGGCAAACACAACTGTATTCTCTGTTTCTATGTGTCTGCCTGTTTTAGACACCTCAAATAAGTAGAATCATGCAGTATTTGTCCTTCTGTGATTGGCTCATTTCATTTAGCGTAATGTACTCCAGGTTCATCTGTGTTGTTGCATAAGACAGGATTTCCTTTTTTAAAAAGGCTGATACTATTCCATTGTGTAAAGCATATACTTTCAAAGCTTATAAACATTCATTGGGTCTGTAGTCCTAGTTTCTTGGATGAGTTCAAGAAACTACAGTAAGAGCAATAATAATATTTGGTAGCTAATATTAAGTGGTAATGATGCTCCCCTCACTTATTAATCCTCAATACAACCATATGCCCTCAGTACCGTTATTATCCCCATTCTGTGCAGATGAGGAAACTATAGCTCAGACAGCTCAAAATCACAGAGGCAGTAAGTGGTTGAGCTAGAACTTGAACTTCACTTTGACCAAAACCCACCCTCCTCCTATCCACAAAATGCAAAGAAAATCAAACCCATAAAATTGAACTCGTGACTAAATCGTTATCAACATAGGCAGTGGAAGTCAATGAAATATAGAACTGAGATATGGCAAGGCCAATTCTCCATAAAATAGCCACTTCTCTGCACATACTAACCACTTCACATGTTACATTTGTTGACAAAAATCGGAGCTCACTCCTGAATTTGACTATATGGATCACATTGAAAGAGTTGCATAGCAAATCTAGGAGCACTGTGCATCTTTTCTCCTTATAGCCTAGAATATTCCCCCCACCCCCGGGATTTTGGCAACTGGAACAGTAAATCCCCAAGTCCTTCTCCTACTTGCTTATTATCTCTGGATGCAAGATTACTGGTATTATGGTTGTGAAAGGCACACCATGCTAATGACAGAGTCTCTCTCTCCTCTGAAACTCCAGAAGAATGGAGATGCAATCCTAGGGAAAGAATTCAACAGCACAGTCTACCTGACTAAGGGCAAAGAGTAGAAAATTGGCAGGACTCTATTAAGACTTTCTCGCAATCCACCTGACACACAGATGAAAAAGACATAAAACAAAATGAAACTCAGCAGCTGCAGTTGTCCTACAGAGAAAGGGAAAAAAAAGTCACCTCTAATGTTGTTCAGAAATCTTTTCGGTACTAAAGAGAACTCCACGGATCATCTTCCTTTGAGAGCTAAAAAGATTTTAAAAAAGAATAGAAGATAACAAAAGGAAAAGGTGGCAGGGCAAAAACATTTAAAAAGAAAGAAAAGAATGGATGCAGGTAGAGGATCTGATACCCCTGGGTCGGGGTACGTCCCATCCCCTCAAATTTCCCAGCATGGGGGCAAACCAATGCCTGGGTTACCTTTCCTGTGGTTGTGGTAACTTGCTCGAGATCTCTGCAGTGTTACTTTCATCTGAAAGTTTCTAATTTCAAATTCAGATTTCCATAGACAAACCTGATCCTGCTATTATGGAAACCTACGGAAATCTGTGGAGTAGTTACTCATCAGCAGCTTAAATAATATAGCCATTGGAGCTGAGGGAATGAATAACTCAGTTAGTCTCAGTTCAAAATGAAGGGCACATTGTAGTAGAGTATAATTGAAAATAGTGTTTAGCGAGGCGCCTGGCGGGCTCAGTCGGTAGAGCACACGACTCTTGATCTCGGGCTTGTGAGTTCAAGCCCCACGTTGGGTGCAGAGCTTACTTTAAAATAAATAAATAAATAAAATAAAATTAAGAGCAATTTTTTAAAAATAATGTTTAGCATTAAATATTCCTAAATGTCTTTAGTTTAAAATGAAGACACTTTAATGGAGGAGAATTACCCCGAGGAATGTAAATATAAGCACAGAACTTCTGTAACAGGGTTTGCTACCCACGTGAGGCTGTGGGCCACACAGCAGAAGTGTTGTCTATACCCGCCACCTCCTCAGGCCTCAGGTCCCGCACACGTTGGTTTGGGAAGGGCTCTGCAGTTGCAACTTCGTCTGCTACCATATCTGGCCTCTAGGGAGCGTTGATCTCCCCCGATCTACCTGATCAAGGTCAAGAAAAATCCTCTTGGTGCAGTTAGTCCAGAGACAAAGTGGGAATTCTCCCAAAAATCTTTTTTATCGCAGACACTAGAGGAAAACAGAAGCATATACAAACTCCCATTTAAGCTGTTGCTTCAAACCGATCTACGGACTGACTTCAAAGGCTGCTGGACAGCACGGTTTACAGAGCACTGGAGCCCCAAATTTCTTGCCTCACCCTTGTCTTGGAAAAAAAAGTGTGTGTGTGTGGGGGGGAGATTTCCATTGTTAAGATCTTGTTATTTGCCTTTTCCCTTGTTCATCAGGCTCCTCTCTGGGAGAAAGAGGTACAAACATTCAGGGCGTGCTTTCTAGTTAAAAGAATAACAATGAATTGGCTACTGTGTCCCCGTGGTTAGAATAATGACCACTGTAGGTCCCCATTTACACATCACGACTGAGGCCTTTCCAGATAGACCAAAGTCTGTAAGAACTTGGGTCATTCCCCTTTGAAGAGTACAAAAGGCATCTACCCACAGTAAGATAGGAGGGAGAGAGAAAAATCACAAGCACATAAACACTTTTTACACTTTGCTGACACACTGTAGACACCACACTCTTATTTACTGAGTATTTCTGTGGAACGGAGAAAGAAAATATCTCGAGTGTAGCTGAATACCAGTATATTCTATGGTAAGCTTGTTAAATAGAACATCTTTTGTCTGAGCTTTAGTTTTCACATCACAGAATATATGAGGGAAAATGAAGGCAGAGTAAAATAAAGCAGAACAGGATAACTTTGGTAGTAGGCAGGGGCAGAATTAGAAAGAGGTGTTTGGGCTAATATGAAGGGGAAAAAGAACAGATGCTTTGAGAGGCTCAACAGATATTCTAGGCACAGAGACCAGCCTCAGGACCAGGGAGAACCCATACCCAACACAGTGCTGGACATCTAAATGCTCAATAAAGCACTGATGAATGAGTCCCATAGTGACTGTTCCTTAGATCCTGGACTAGAGACCTCCCCACTGGAACTCCTTGGGCTACTATTCTATTTCCAGAATCTTGAGTCCTTTCTCTGAGAGCAAAAGACTGCTGATTGGACAGCAATATTTCCCACTGCACACACAACACAAGCCATGAAGAAAGATGGCACATGAGGAAAATGGCGGACAGGTCTAGTAACTTAAGCCAAGGACACAGAATCAGAATTGGGAAAACCACCCTGAGTGTATTCATTCCCATCACACATGCCCTGAACCACACTAGGCTGCACCTACCACCTACCTCTGTGAACTGACCACAATCTCATATTGACTGAACACTTTCTACAGGTGGTATTTGAGTTGGCTGAACACTTTAGTATTGCTTTATAACAACAAAATGATAGCCAAAAACATGAAAAGAGCCAGGGATGTAATCACCATGAGTAAGGAGAAAGGTCTTTTAAAAATAAATATGAAGGACCAAGTGCCATCTTTTTGGCTCACGCACTTAGATTATTGGCAGCACAGATTAAAGCTCAGGTGGGTTCCTTTACCCATGCGGTAACAGTTGATTTGCTTCCCCTTAATTCCTGAAGTGGCAGTAAGGAACATGAGCAAATGATTACATTAACCTATGCGAGCCTATGTAAAATAGAATTTGAAAAGTGAGATCCGACACTCAACAATCCATAATATACTCCAAACCCATACAGTCACTCTGTTAGCCTGGATTCCCCAAGTCTGTGACTCGAGCTTATTTATTAGGGTGTGCAATCCTAGGGAGCAAGAGTAAGGGACAGGGGCGTGAGGCAGTGAGGAAAGGAGAACGGATCCTAGAAAGAGTCATCTCTCCTCATCTGCAACTGATCACTGGATCTCCTGGGACTATTTTCCATGGAGCCAGAGGAACTGACTTCAGGACAGTCCATCTGGGAGGGGAGAAGTGATGAAAGAATTTGTCCATCAGCATCTGTCTCCCAGTAGTCAGAAGTTTAGCCGAGGGGCCCTTAACTCCCCTACATCTCCAGGTTGTACTCGCTGGGGCGGGGGGGGGGGACCCGCACAGGTGATGCAGGATCCCATGCCTCAGCGTCAACAGGGAAGTGCCAGGGTAAGAAGGGAGAGGCACATGGTGTGAATGCGAGCCAAGGCGATTCAAGGCTGCACCTGTATGAGGTCAGAAGTCGCTGCAGAGCAGCGGATGGTGACAGCACTGGCAAAGATAGCCATGGGGCTGAGAGGAACTAAGGTGGCACATAGCAGATGTCTAATAGAGTCACTCTTTTTCAAACTTTCCGTGTTCTTACTACACCAACAAGTGAGCGTTTCTCTTGAAAGTGGTACTGTTGTTGAACAGCTAGGTAAGGGGGAAGGCATCTCCTATCCATTGTGTTCCTGTGCTGCTCTAGAGACAGAAATAAGCCCAAGGGCAGAGCCTGTTTCTCTTAACTCAGCAGGTCTCAGCTAGCCAGCCCTGAACCATGCTACTTCCTGTTATTGAGACTGCATAGGAGAAACAAAGGGAAAACACGGTAATTAAAAAATACAAAATAAGATGGCACGAATAAACCAAATAGATCAGAAGTCAGAGGTTTTTTTTTAATTTTATTTTATTATGTTATGTTAATCACCATACATCATTAGTTTTTGATGTAGTGTTCCACGATTCATTGTTTGCGTATAACACCCAGTGCTCCATGCAGTACGTGCCCTCCTTAATACCATCACTGGACTAACCCATCCCCCCACCCCCCTCCCCTCTAAAACCCTCAGTTTGCTTCTCAGAGTCCATAGTCTCTCATGGTTTGTCTCCCCTTCCGATTTCCACCCCCTTCATTTTTCCCTTCCTTCTCCTGTGGTCCTCCATGCTATTCCTTATGTTCCACAAATAAGTGAAACCATATGATAATTGATTTTCTCTGCTTGACTTATTTCACTTAGCATAATCCCCTCCAGTCCCATCCATGTTGATGGGAAAGTTGGGTATTCATCCTTTCTGATGGCTGAGTAATATTCCATTGTATATATGGACCACATCTTCTTTATCCATTCATCTGTTGAAGGGCATCTCGGCTCTTTCCACAGTTTGGCTATTGCGGACATTGCTGCTATGAACACTGGGGTGCATATGGCTCTTCTTTTCACTACATCTGTGTCTTTGGGGTAAATACCCAGTAGTGCAATTGCTGGGTCATAGGGTAGCTTTATTTTTAATTTTCTGAGGCACCTCCACACTGTTTTCCAAAGTGGCTGTACCAACTTGCATTCCCACCAACAGTGTAAGAGAGTTCCCCTTTCTCCACAACCTCTCCAACAGTTGTTGTTTCTTGCCTTGTCAATTTTTGCCATTCTAACAGAAGTCAGAGTTAATGTGAATTGGGGTTAATGGCAATTTTCAGTCTGGAGTTAAAAATCTAATTGTATGCTGTTGACAAAAAAAGATACCTAGAATAAAATTACACCAGGAGGCTAAACTAAATGGATGTAAAAATATTTCCAGGTAAATGCTAACAAAAAGAAACTGGTGAAGCAATCTTAATATCAGGCAAAATAGAATCCAAGACAAAAAGGATTAAAAGAGACAACACCACCTCATATTAATAAGGGAGACTGCATAGGAAAGTAAAGAAAATGTGGCACTAGAATGCTCATAAGTGCCCACACATAATATCTTTGGCATTTAGCCACCTTAAAGGACCTGATTTCATTCTCTTGTGCTGATATATACCCACCTCAGCCAGCTTCAAGTGTGCTTAGATAAATTGGATTATATTAAAGCTATGAACTTCAGTGGGGCACCTGGGTGGCTCAGGTGGTTAACTCTTGATTTCAGCTCAGGTCATGATCTCGGGGTCATGAGATCAAGCCCTGCATCAGGCTCCAAACTCAGTAGGAAGTCTGTCTGAGATTCTTTCTCTCCTTCTGCGCCCCCCACTCTCTAAAATAAATAAACAAATCTTAAAAAAAAAAAACTATGGGGGTGCCTGGGTGGCTCAGATCGTTAAGTGTCTGCCTTCAGCTCAGGTCATGATCTCAGGGTCCTGAGATCAAGCCCCATATCGGGCTCCCTGTGGAGCCTGCTTCTCCTTCTCCCTCTGCCGCTCCCCTGCTTGTGCTCTCTCTCTCAAATAAATAAACAAAAATCTTTAAAAATAAATAAATAAAACATTAAAAAAAACCTATGAACTTCTATTCAACAAAATACACTATTTTAGGACAAAAAGGCAAGTCAGAGTGGGAGAAGAAACCAGCAATACATATGTCCAAGAACTGGAACCCTCACACACCGATGCTGGGAATTTAAATTTGTACAATTATGTCAGAAAACTACTTGGCAGTATCTACTAAACCTGAACATATGATCCAACAATTGCACTCATAAGTATATACCCAGGATTCATGCATATATTACCAAAAGATATGTATTAGGAATGCTCATTACAGTATTACACCTAAGAGCCCAAAACTGGAAAGTCAACTCAAATATTCATCAGCAGTAAAATGAATAAAACAGTAATATTTACACAACGGAATACTACTTAGCATGCAAATGAACCACTGCTGTACAAATAACATGGATGAATCTCACAAAGTGTTACATGAAAGACACAGAGGAGTGCATATTGTGAGCTTCTATTTACATAAAGTTCATTAACAGGCAAAATTCCCTCTTAGAATCTGGTAGTGGATGGCAACTTTGGAAAGGAGGACCGGTGTAGTGGTGGAAGGGGGCATGGGGAGAGCCTCTGGGATGTGGATAATGGCCCATGCATTGATCGGTTTAGTGTTTAAACAGGTGCACAACTTTGTGAAAATTCACCCTGAAGTTCTGAGGGACTTCTCTGAATATATATTATCCTTTAATAAACAACTTCTTAAAATTGCAGTCCAAGATTTAGTGAAAGTAGAATACCCAAACCTTCAGTTTATGCCAAATCAAATATATTGCTGCCATTTTTATGCCTTATTAAGAATTTTATCTTTCCTTCCACTCTTAGCTCGAGGCTCCCAAGCTTCTCTCCACGAATGCCCCCTGCTTATATTTGACCTATCCATGAGTCAGTGGTTTCATGTACTCTTGAGAAATGCATGCGAAATGATGCTATTGCTGTTGATTTTGCTCTCTTTCAGATGTAACATGCAACATTAAGAATGGCAGATGCAAGCAGTTTTGTAAATTGGGCGCTGGTAACAAGGTGGTTTGCTCTTGTACCACAGGGTACCAACTTGCGGAAGACCAAAGGTCCTGTGAACCAGCAGGTCAAAATCTAAATAAGTTGCTTTTTTTTTTTTAACCTGGGGAGATCCATCCTCCAAATCTATATTTGAACCTTCAGGGCATTTTAACTAGCCTACCTACTTTTATAATCCCTATTTGTTTCTACTTCCTTTTGAGATCATAGAAAAGATTAGTAGCTTGAATTGGACTTTCCAACTGGCATCGTCATTTTAAATAGAAATTCTGCAACTGTCCTCGGTCTGCATTCTTTTCCATGTCCATTTTTTTCTGACTTTTCGATCATGAAGCAATCAATTTGTGTGATTTCCGTATATTTGTAATTTATCGAGAAAATTTCTATAGTAATCGCAGGCCATACAAGATACATAACTGATTGTTAGGCTTCTAGTACATGGAATGGTGAATGTTAAGCCTGATTCTGTCAGGGTGTGGCTGGCTTACTCTGAGAAGGTTATTTCCTATCCTTGGGTCTCAGGCTGAGTTTACACGCTTGGCATCCGAAGAGTTCCAACGACCATCTCTTTCAAGTTGTGCCAGGCTGACCAACACAGTCATTCTGTACAGCTGTGGACAAAACAATGTTTCCCAGTCATGTCAACCAGGCCACATTGTTGACAGTGCATTCAGAACATCTCCACTCCACACTCATATTGCTCTTCTCTGAAATGAAAGCCATAGAAACTTTGATAAAAAAAAAAAAAAAAAAGTAGGCTCCGCAGGATCAATGATATTTGATAAATGAGGGGCCTTTTTGAAGCAAACTAGGTATCATTTCTTTTGCATTTTCAAAGCCTGGTATTAAATTGATACATTAAATAATGCACCATTCCTCTGTTAACGGGGTTTGATACCTATCTCACCAAAGCACCCGGCAGAGGAAATGAAAGAAAGGGCCAGACACCAAGAGTATATATACTGTTGCAACTAAAATGAAGAGTCTCTAATGCTTCAGGGACCTACCCACCCATCCTTCTGCCCAGTTCTTTACATGCAACGCTTCACAGCTAGCCCAGCTCCGGAGAAGAAGATCTATATGTTTGAACCTTCAGAATCTAACTTCCAGCATAGAAAGATGGCATAGTAGCTAAACCCTTATAAGCCCTTCTATGTTAGGAAAAAAAAAAAAAAAGAATTGAGAACCACCTTGAGCCATTAAGTGTTAGATTTGAATATAGCCTTATCCTTAGCAGAGTAAGTAGGCCAAACCTAAAATAAGCTCTCCTGCCTTTCAATAGTAATGGTCCCTTTTCTCCAGCCATTGTTGATGATGTATATTTATACATAAGTATTTTGAACTAATTTCCTGTTTTCCCAACCACATGCTGTCTTCATGATACTTTGCTGCAGCTGGTTGCTATAGAAATGTCTGTTAGAAGGAATGTGGTTAGAAGGAAAGTGAGAAATGAAAACGAAACGTGAGGTGACTTTGCTTGACTACAAATTTCCATTCCGGTTGTCCCCAGTGTATCAGGAGATGATTTCTTGTCTTTAGGAAATAAACTGACCCAAGGTAAAAAGGTGGCCAGTTCCCAGGCGGATGTGGCTATGATAATCATATTAGTAATTTCTTTGGTTAAAGGGTTGTTTTGTTTTTTTTTAAGTTGAAGTCATCTCTACACCCAACGTGAGGCTCAAGCTCATGACCCCAACATCAAGAGTCACGTGCTCTTCCAACTGAGCCAGCCAGGTGCCCCAGTAATTTACTTGGTTAATACTTAACCAAATTAAATCATTAAATCATAATTTCTTCCCAGCATACCCCTAAATCCACCTTGGTGTCTAGAAGGCATTCTAGTCTACTAAAGAAAGCCTGGTTCACAATAAGCAGCCGAAGTCCCATTTGCCTAATTCTAAAGTTAAAGTTACAGGGGCACCAGTCATCAGAATCCCATTTAGGGACAGTACTTAGGAGTAAGACTTTTTAGTAAAGAAAAAAAAAAGTCATTAGACTTTATAAAACTCTTACAAAATTTGATTCTGGAACACCTATTCCATCTCTGTAAAGATGATGGATTCCTGAGCCAAATGTTCTTTTCATGAAGGGTTTGAAAACTTTCCATGAAAATAATGCAATTAACCTTTTAGTTTGAGACTATATTCATTGATTAGATTTTTTAAATATTGATGGGCCTGCTTCTCAGAAGTGACAAGGACAGGCCTCATCCTCGATTTCTGTAATACACGCTCTGCTTGCCAATGAGAAATATCAGAATACTAAATTTTTTTCCCATGTTTCTAGTGCCATTTCCATGTGGAAGAGTTTCTGTCCCACACGTTTCTACGACACGCACCCGTGCTGAAACTTTTTTTTCCAATATGGACTATGAAAATTCCACTGAAGCGGAAAAAAATTTCGAGAACCTCACCCAACCTCTCAACGATCTTACTCGAATTGTTGGTGGAAAAGATGCCAAACCAGGTCAATTCCCTTGGCAGGTACTCTATATTAATGGTGTGTCAAAACTGGAGCCCAGAGGGCAAGGGACAGGCCAGGCAGGGGCTGAGGCGAGGGCACTAGACAGGCCTATTGCAGTGGGGCAAGTGTTCAGGCAAGTTTCAACACTAAGCAATATGAAGAAGCCCTCAGTAGTGGGGAGCTGGTGAGAGAGAAGTCCAGGGACAGCTACCATACAAGGTCAAGAAGAGTTTGACACCAAGGAAAGCATAGCAGGGTTCCAGACATGAAACTGGGAGGTCTGGAAGCGAGGTCACAGGTACTGGGGTTCAGGGTACTACTTCAGCTCATGGGAGAACGGGTGAAAGAAAGTCTAGGTCCAGAGAAACTGGATTATTTTGAAGGGATTTATTTATTTATTTATTTGAGAGTGATCACGAGCAGGGGGGAAGGGTAGAGGGAGAAGCAGACTCCCCACTGAGCAGGGAGCCCGATGCGGGACTCGATCCTAGGACCCTGGGATCATGACCTGAGCCGAAGGCAGACGCTTCACCGACTGAGCCACCCAGGCGCCCTTGAAGGGATTTTTAAAAGGACTCATGTAGGAAGGAGTAAAGCAAGAACTGGGTTACTAGAACTAGAGTCTGAAATAGGGGCTTGGTCCAAGGCTCAAAGTGTGCTAGCAACAGAATCACCTGAAAACTTGTTAGCAATGCAAATTTTCGTGCCACACCCCACTGAAGGGTACTGAAACACAGTCTCTGGGGCGACAGCAACTTGTGTGCTAGTTAACAAGCCCTTTGGCTGATTTTAATGCATACTACAATTTGAAACCAAAGGAACCAAACACCAAACAGTAAACCCATGGTACCTAGACCCACATTTCTCCAGATGTGATCTTCAGACAACCCACATGAGAATCACCTGTGCCCATTTCTGAGGCAACTACCGAGAGCTAGATTTGTAGCAAAACTTGTCATTGACCCTACAGCTAAAGTCTGAGTGATTCCATCTGCGAGAAGTGGGCCCCAGAGGCCAGGAGCCAGGCTGGTCCTTATATAAAGTGGAGCTGTCCAGGAACGTAACTACTAACCACATGTAGCTATTTAAATCTAAATAACTGCCATTAAGTACAATTAAAAACTCATCTCAAGCACACCTGCCACATTTCAAGTGCACGATAGCCACACAGGGCTGGTGGTCATGGTACTGAACAGCACAGGTACAGAACACAGCCACCATTGCAGAAAGTTCTATTGGACAGTGCTTAGAACAGTTTAGTCTAACTCAAAACTCCCTAGTGGCCACAGTCATATGATTTTGTGGCTATTTCAAAATACTTCACTCCAAAATATTTTCTCTACTGAGGTCTGAATTTTTGCCATCAGGGACCAGTAACTTCAAAGACTTTTCAATCATCAAACCAGTAACAATTTAAGCCAGGATCAGGTAAATGTCCCAGGTGTAACACCACTGGAATTCTCTGAAACTATGTATCTATTCAGGATTCTTCAGAATGCCTGACATTTTCCAATATAATGGGTGTTAAGATATTGAACATTTGCCTGGGAGGTAGGGATTGGCACATTGTAGAGAATGGTACTGACGGGGAGCAGGCCTTCCCAACAAAGACTATATTTTCTGTTCTTTTACCTTGGCTTTGCCTTTTTTTTTAATGATTTTATTTATTTGAGAAACAGAGCACAAGTCAGGGGGCAGGGCAGAAGGAGAGGGAGAAGCAGACTCCCCATTGAGCAGGGAGCCCGATATGGGGTTCGATCCCAGGACCCTGGCATCTCGACCCAAGCCAAAGGCAGACGCTTAACGGACTGAGCCCCACCTTGGCTTTGCTTTTAAGAATATTTGTTGGACTTGATCTTACAGCCACTAAAATACACTGTGTGTTCCTTGATACCCCCTCTATCCCCTATTTAGGCATCCTACCAGCACGGCTTCCCTCATTCACCATGACCTCTTCCTTCACTCGTCCACATCTCTATTCTCCTTCATGACTCTTCATAAGAACGATCTTCTCCACTGATCTTTCCTTGAACAATCGCAACTGGATCCAGCCACTCTAATTATGCTTTCATTCTATTTAACATCCATGTATCTAATTCTATCTAATTTTACTATTTGTGTTCTTGGGCATTCTTATTCATTATGTATCCAACTTCCATGGATAGGTGGTTGGAACAAAAGATCCTACTTTATAATAATTATCTTCCTTGGGGTTGTGGGACATAAAGCAGTCCCTAGAGTGGAGGATCCATAAACCCAGGGGTGTTTTATTAGCTAAAAGATGACTTTTCTTTAAAAAAAACAAAAACACTCCAGCATTAAAAAAATACCCCAAGATGCACACATTGTGGGCTCAGCATTGTTCCCTTGTCAACCCAGAAATGAAATTGGTAAACACACTTAAATAAGAGCTAATGGGGGGTATAAAGTCCCAATTTAGTCACATAATCTCTCCACTCTCCACCCACCCCCTTTAAGCCAGATGCTCGCCAAAGTTTTAACAATGCAAGTCTTTCCTAATAGAAATTTTAGTAACTCTAGCAAGCTATTTTTTTTTCTTTTAAATAGAAGAAACTATTAGATGATGGTTGCAGTTGTCTGCTAAGGAAGAAGATATAAATGATACACATCATTTCAAATCTTTTGATGTCATCTTCATTGCACACTTACATAGTATACTTGTTGACTCTTTCCCATCAAGCCTAGCTAAGATCATTTGGAATGTTCAAGACCACTCAAGCACATGTTCACTCCCCATTTCGTCCATATGAAGTAGGATTACTGACTGTAGAGGCACAAAGCCCTAAGTTTTAGTCTTTTTCAAGGGTGAAGAGCTGAGCTCCTTTCTAGAGTACTTGAGAAAGACCCTGTCATACTTCTGCACTGTTTCCTTCTCACCCCAAGAGAGGTCTCTCCACACCCACCTCCAGCCACTTTCTCACAAAAGGTTACTGGTTTTCAAAACTAAGAGATAAACTGAGTGTACAAAAGTCACTTGCAAAGACCAAACAGGAAATGAAACAAACCAGAGTCTCTCATCTGTGGATGAGCCAGCTCCACAGCCCCGCTAATCTGCAAGGTGGAAATACTTGGTTTGATTGCAGGCAAGACTGCAATACACCTGCTGCAGCCAAGGCATCAAGAGAAAGCAAGCAACAGCTGGGGCTTCCATGGCCAAAACAGTACATCTATGGCTCGGAAATATGAAGCAGTTTAGTAATACCACCCAGAAAGGATTCCCAATTCCCATGCTTCCTAAAAGGATGGGGGCGGGGGATGAAGCGACCACTTGGGTGAACAAATCGCACAAAAAGAACGTAGGGAGGTCACTTTCATCTGGAGTAATGAATGGCATCAAGCTGGAAGGGTTTAGCGGGCTAAGGAAAAGGGCTAAGTTAGCTGTTTGCAAGAGCTAAGGGGCCACAGAGGAAGGGAGAAGGCGACTTTTTCTTTTAGGGTTTATTCGTGAAAGTTAGAGGCAGGCAAGCAGATTCTGGCCCCGGTTAAGAAAGCCCTCTCCAACCACAGTGTCGGTGAGGTGGGCTGGGCAGCTTTGGGAGGCAACTTTGGTTGAACCCATGTTTGTTGAACTGTTAACTCGAAGAGCTGGGGACAGCACCGGCCTGATAAACCCGTGGAGAGAGCGTCGAGGACCTTGGTTCATCTGGTGGGAGAGTAGAGCAGGCTAGGGGACCTCTGCCACCCCATCCAGGTTGAGAACCTAAGAAGTGAGGTTCACCTTGCCCCTAGCTCAAACGTGGCCATGTTCAGTCCTTACCTTATTCGAGGGCTTTCCCTTCAGCTTCCGGGCTGGAGGCGAAGCCGCACTGGGCCTACCCCCTGCCACGGGGGCGTTCCCATAACCCCCTCAGGTTCCAGCCTTGGGGCCAGCCCCACCCCCAACACCTAAGGCCAAAGGTGCTGGCGGACTTGCCTGACCTCTAACCTCCCTGCGGTGGAGGGGAGGCGGGGCGGGGCGGGCGTGAGGCCAAGTTCCTTCATTTTCCCTCCAGATGGCGGCGGAGGGCTCAGAGCCTCTGGAGAGCTCAGGGAGAGGGGGCAGGGACTCTGCAGGGATACTCCAGGAGCCAGGAGAGGAAGCTGGAGGGTGAAGTGCACTACACAGGAACAGAAAGGACAGTTCCTAGAGTCACTATTATCCTTAGAGTGGGAAACAAAAACAAGACTCAAATTTCATACAGGTACATAGGGAAGCCATGAAAACCTTTGAATATTAGAGAAAAAAGGGAAATCAAAACACCTTCATCAACAGCTTAAAAGAGAAATTTGAGAAAACAACTCCATGTTTTGGCTTTCTAAAGCTTTAATTTGGTTTTGGTCCCTTGCCCTTAACCTTGTTAGCCAATAATTCTGGGCATGCACAAACTTGCCCCAAGAGCTCCTCCCACCTCTTCTGTTTTGGGTTTGGAGCTGTCTGGCCTTGAATGTGAAGTACCTGGTCTTTCTATTTTCTGTTTCATCATGGGCCTCAGCTCTGTATTAGCCATAGTTATTCTACATTTAATAATTTGGAGATCATTCTACCAGATTGAAAAAATGGAATACAATGGAAGCCAAGTGGTTAAGCTTTCCTTAACCTTTATATTAGTTTGTATCGTATACAACTGACAATATTCAAATGTTTTAACCAGCAAAATGTCTTGAGAAGCAGTCTGTCTATTCCTTATTCTGTTCTTGGCCTAAAAAATCTTTAAAACATCTCAGCACTTTCCCCAGTCTCAGCTTTCCTCAGCTTTGGCCTGAAACTATCCTTAAAGATACCTGAGCTCTTGACCTGCACAGCTACTCACACGCCCAATCCTTTCCATCGGGTTAAGACACATCCCTATGGCAGATAGGATACAGTTACCATATGTATGAATCAGAACTTTTTCTTTCTTTTTATTGGAAAAGGGGAGGATTGGGAGAAAGATTTTATATGATGGGCCTAAGACTATAGACACGTCTTTACCTGGAAAAATTTAACCCTCAAATGATAAAGTTTCAATTAAGAGAAATAAAAACATGACTAATCTCACCTGGCCCCACAAAACTATGTTGGACAGAACATTTAGATTATTATTCTCTAAGATGGATTGGTGAAAACTATTTCTTTTTTTTTTTTAAGATTTTATTTCTTTATTTTAGAGAGACAGTGAGAGAGGGAACACAAGCAGGGGGAGTGGGAGAGGAGAAGCAGGCTTCCCGCGGAGCAGGGAGCCAGCTGCGGGGCTCGATCCCAGGACCCTGAGATCATGACCTGAGCCGAAGGCAGACGCTTAAGGACTGAGCTACCCAGGCACCCCGGTGAAAGCTATTTCAATGACGAGTTTAGTTAACCATTAAAAACTGAAAATGAAAAAGAGAATGAGCATCCCCTCTGTGCCCAGAAAAATGAAGTCGGGCCAATGGCTGGGCGAATCACACCTGTGGGCATAACGAGCTGTCCATCCTGCAGAAATGGTTGTGCTTTTGATATGAGAGAATGAGTGTGCAAACCGGAAAAAAATGTAATTGGAAAGCTGGAGGTGGCTACATAGAGAGAGAGAGGACGAGTTTACTGAAAATCACAGGGAAAGGCCAGATTCAAGTTAAAGGTCAGGAAGAGAATAACAGGGCGACAGCTATTACTCGGGGCCGGCATTATCAATGAAGAGCATCAGAAGAGATAAGTGAGTGTGTATTTTCTAGATGGATGTGGTGTGTTTGGTGTGCATCTGTGTATGTGTCTGAAAGAGAGAAAACAGGCTCCTATTAGGATAGGACAAACATGAAAAGGATTGACAGATCAGAACTTGGATGCCTTGCTCAGAACATATGCTTTCCCATTTTTCCCTTCATTGTCCAAAGTGATGTCTTACAAGAACTTGTCCTTGGCCAAGCAGACAGCTCATCTCCAAATAGCTCATATTTAGATAGCTGTGATCCTGTGGTAGCCAAGCAAACATTCCTAAATCTAGTCATTTGTAATATCTTTAAATGCAAATATATTTTAGGGCGTTTTATTGGCAAAGATGTTTGCTAAAATTTCTAATACCAATCAGGGACTGGCAAAAAAAAAAAAAAAATGCTCTTCGGGCTCAAAAAAACACAATCATATTTCTCAGCCATCCACCAGAAAGGAATAGAAGCTCCAGGCAGCAAGTCTTTGGCAGGAGTCAGACTAGCTACATCATAGTCTTTGTGCCCAGGGGCTGTGGATATCATTCAGTCTGGCCTAACCAACCCATTAAGCTGAGAGATGCCTAGTCACCTCTAATACAGAGGAAAAGCACCATTCTGTTATTGCTTGTGAATTCATAACTCTAATTACTGGAACGGATGTATTCAGATGTGACCATGAGGCCCCGTGTAGGACAGTGTTACCCAAACCTGCCTAGTGATACAAATCACCTGGGGTCAGGGCCAGCTTCATGAGCTTGTAACCAGTGGACCTGCATGAGGCCTTGCTTTTGGAAGGGTCCCAAATTTGGAGTTTAATGCTTTGTGTTTTGCAACTCGAGTCTGATGAGACAGGGAAGCAGCCGTGCGCTGGGAGCCTAGAACCTCTCACCACCTCCCTGGGATGGATTCTTCACCTCCCACTCCCTTGTCCCCTGGTTCGTTGGCCAGGTCTGCATCTTCCTCCCCATACATGCCCAACGACCACTGCCACCCTCAGCCCATGGCACGCTAGCGTACTCCCCTCCACTTCTCCAACAGCCATCTGCGTCCCCCTCCTCCTGCACCAGCACAGGGAGGGTTGAGGCTGGGTGTACACACTCTATGCCATTTGGGGAGGGGGCATGGCCACATAGCATCTCAGGCCCAGAAGTGTGTCACAGCTCATTTGGAGGGTGGATGGTGGGGGCAAGCCTCTTGCCCGCCTCCATTGCAGGAGCTGAGCACGTCCCGGCATGGAAGTTGTAACCGCTTGAGAATCACGCCTCCACTGTTGGTTGCTGCAGTGGGCCAGTGAGAAGGGCCGATTGACTTACCTTCCCCTGCTGCAACATGGGGTCGGTGGGACAGGGGGCCTGGCAGCCAAGGGCATTTGTGCTTGCATGCCAAATCATAGGGTGCAGCTCCTGGGCACCCATCAGTGTCTGCACTCTCCCCACAAATAGCCCCCAGGCCTGAGAACGCATGACATGAAGTAGTAAAATTAAAATCACCATCGGGGCACCCAGGTTGCTCAGTCGGTTAAGCATCTGACTCTTGATTTCGGCTCAGGTCCTGATCTCAGGTCTTGATCTCAAGCCCCACACCCAGCGTGGAGCCTACTTTAAAAAAATAAAGTAAAATAAAAAATAAAAACCCTCTTGGGGTACCTGGGTGACTCAGTCAGTGAAGCGTCTGCCTTCGGCTCAGGTCGTGGGATCAAGTCCCATGTTGGGCTCCCCACTCAGCAGGGAGTCTGCTTATCCCTCTCCCTCTCCCTATGCCCCTCCCCCTACCTGTGCACTCTCTCTCTCTCTCCTCTCTCAAATAAATAAAAATCTTTAAAATAAATAACAAAAAAATAAAAACCCCATGATAGATTGCAAGAGACCATAGAAGAAAGAAAAAAAAAAATTGTACTTAAGTATTTTCAATGGCATGTTTTTTTCCTGGCTTTTGAACAAGGGGCTCCACATTTTCATTTTGCACTGAGCCGCACAAATTATGTAGCCAGCTCTGTGTGGACTAAGCACTTTTTAAACACAAAGGTCACGAAGCCTTGGAAATTCTGAAACAGAATTTCTCAAACTTAATCATGCATAAGGATTTTCTGGAGATCTTCATTTCCTCCAGTCACACCCACCAAATATTCTAATTAAGTTCCGGTGGGCCCCCAAATCTGCATTTTACAAGCATCTGAGATGCTTCTACTGCAATTGGTCCACTGACCACACTTGGAGACCTACTGTGCTCTTAGGAGCATAGATTCTGAAGCCCGGTAGCCTAGGGTTTGCATCCTAGCTTCACCACTGATCTTAAAGGAGTTAATGTACATATCTAAAACTCGGTTTGCTCATCTGTAAGTGGATATATTAATATCACTCCACAAAGTGGTGTATTAAATGTACATAAAACACTCAGCACAATGATTCGTCCATGGTAAGCAATCGATAAATGTTCAAAAAAATTAAGACTGTTACGTCTGGGTGGTGGTGGCTACCCGGGTGTTTATTATATTATTATGTGAGTTTTCCTATATTTTTACAACTTTTCAAAATAAAAAGCAACAGCCAGAAGGAGAGAGAAAGCTAAAGTGTGGAAAAAGGGGTCAGAAGCTTGCAGTGAGTCAGCCCTAAAGGTCTCCGAGTAGGAGGCCAATGCTTCAGTGTCTAGGACTTGTTTAGTAGGTGTTCAGTAAATTGAACTCAGGACAAAAAGAATCTTCACTAGAACCTTCTCAGACTCACACTTAAGGGCACTGACCACTTTTTTCCCTTGGTTTAGAAATGGATTTATGCCTGAGAGGAGGTGTACTTTAGTAAAAGGACATGAGTTCGTAAGAGCTGGTCGGCTTCTGCATAGGGTTTACCAAATGTTCAGTGCACCCTCTAGTGTCCATACTTCTCAGCTTCCTTCCTGAAGAGGTGGCTCGAGGCCTTTGGGCACACTGGAAGTGAAATTCTCCAAGTTGATCTAGAGATTGAGGTGGTAAAAATATTCATCGTCCACTCTGGTTATATAATAAAATGTACAAATGAAAGAACGGACTGGCCTCTTATCTAATAATGCCCAGGCTCAAACCAGCACCCGAATGCCTCGGTCCACTTTGCCCAAGCACAGCTAAGGAGAACTGTCGGGACAGAGGCAGCTTCCACATCCAGCCAAGGGAACTGGAATATGGCTAGGGGAAAAAGGAAGGAGTGCATGTGCCCTGCTGTTCCTCACTGCCCGGATGGCTGTAAGTACAGCTCCTACAGAGGCCAGTGGTCTCAATTCATAGTTTGAAACGGGCTTAAAAAGACTTCAGGGAGGGGCGCCTGGGGGGCTCAGTCGTCAAGCGTCTGCCTTCGGCTCAGGTCATGATCACAGGGTCCTGGGATCGAGCCCCACATCGGGCTCCCTGCTCAGCGGAAAGCCTGCTTCTCCCTTTCCCTCTGTGCCCCCCTCTGCTTGTGCTCACTCTCTCTCTGTCAAATAAATAAATAAAATCTTAAAAAAAAAAAAAAAAACCTCAGGGAAAAATCAGTACTTTTTCTCTTTCAAATCACCCTGTAGCAAGGTTTCCTCATGCAGCGACAGAAGACTCAATAGTAACTATGGATCTGGAGGAGTCAAGCAAATTTCTGAATTTACCTGCCATATTCCCATGAAACAATCTGTGCCATCAGAGAATCCGACTCACCTGGAAAAAGCAGCCAAGGGCCCCAAATCACCAAAAGAAGCCATTCCCTCATATTCGCCTCCTCTAGAGCTCCCCCTGGCTCTCCTTGCACATTCTCTTCAAGACAGTTACAGAAATGGCTTTTTTGATTGCGCTCCAGAAACACTAACTCATCTGCAAAGCTGACACTTTCCAGAAACACTCCAGTTCTGCCAGCACCTAGAATCAAACTTTGCCCACTCCTATCAACAGCACCTGTATTTATTTTGTTCTGGATCAAACACCTTATGTAGTAAGTTTCATGATTTTGTTTCCACAGGTCCTTTTGAATGGGAAAGTTGATGCATTCTGTGGAGGTTCCATCATCAATGAAAAATGGGTGGTAACTGCAGCCCACTGCATTGAGCCTGATGATAAAATTACCGTGGTTGCAGGTAAATAAACAAAAAAGGATAGGAATCGGCAGTATCACTAGATCTTCTATATGATTGGTGCATCGTATTTTCCTAAGGTCTACTAAGTTCTTTGCGAAATAAGTTGGGCTAGTGCCATATTTCTAGGAGGAGGAGCCATATTTCTAGAACCTAACTTCTTCCATCCTCCAAGCCCCCCATAGTTCTTTCGGTGTGCCCAGATTCACCCCCATCTCACAGGGGTACAATTATGTATGATGTGTGCATTTCCCCACCAGACTGAGCCTTCCCCAACGCCGTGTCATATCATTTGCCTTTGTACCTCTGGTGCCTGGCACGACCTTTGAATGAATGACCCAATGACTATATTATCTGTGCTCAAAAAAGGGGTCAAAATCCTTGAAATTAGGAAAGTCTAGGGTAATTCATGCCAAGTAGATTCATTACCACCTCAACAACGTAAGGTTTGTACCACCATGGGAGAACAAGCCAGCTCCATGATGGTCCCGAATGGGTTTTTGGTCTGAAATGTATGCATTGGTCCTCATTACATTTTACCAAAATCCTAGCAATGTAAGACTGAGATTGTTGACACTTGGTTGCCAGTTAATTGAGGGATGCCGAGAATCTTGGGCAATCTGTTTCCTTATGTGTATGTCTACCTGTGACTGAAGAGAAATTTATTTTCCATAGGTGAACATAACACCGAGGTGAGGGAACCTACAGAGCAAAAGCGAAATGTGATTCGCACTATTCTTCACCACAGCTACAATGCAACTGTTAATAAGTACAACCATGACATTGCCCTTCTGGAACTGGATGAACCCTTAACGCTAAATAGCTATGTAACACCTATTTGCGTTGCTGACAGGGAATACACGAACATCTTCCTCAAATTTGGATCTGGCTACGTGAGTGGCTGGGGGAGAGTCTTCAACAGAGGGAGATCAGCTTCAACTCTTCAGTACCTTAAAGTTCCACTTGTTGACCGAGCCACATGCCTTCGCTCCACAAAGTTCACCATCTATAATAACATGTTCTGTGCTGGCTTCCATGAGGGAGGTAAAGATTCATGCCAGGGAGATAGTGGGGGACCCCATATTACCGAAGTGGAAGGCATCAGTTTCTTAACTGGAATCATTAGCTGGGGTGAAGAGTGTGCAATGAAAGGAAAATACGGAATATATACCAAGGTGTCCCGGTATGTCAACTGGATCAAAGAAAAGACAAAGCTCACTTAAAGAAAAAAAAATGTATTTCCAAGGTTGACATATTTGGGGTCGAGATGGACAAGGGCCTTTACTGACTAATCACTTTCCTATCTCTTTAGATTTGACTGTCTGCATTCCATGAATACTGCTTTTTCTCTTTATGGGGAGAAATCTATCTAGAATTCCTATTTTACTAGAGTAAGTAGATTAGCAAATGTAATCACTAGAGGAATGTACTGTGATAGGAAATTGTGACCATTCCCACAGGTCCAGCCCTTGACAAAACTGTGAAGTTAAGTTCTTCATCCTGCCCATCGGGCATTAAGTTTCTCCACTGGGGCAACTCTCTGATTCTCCCTCCTTAGCAGCATTCCATGTTCCAGATCTTTCTTACCTCTCCGACCAAAATCATCAAAACGTATTAGATCTATATCTGGGATATTTGGTCTAGTTCACGACAAGGCGAGCACCACACTCATAAAGGACGAACACAGGGGGAGCCGACAGGTGGAAACTCACCAGAAAACACTACTTCCTTTTCTGTACCCTTATTCCTGCTTCCTCGATCTCTTCCGTTTCCTAATCCCGAAATCAGTTTCTCTCTCCCTCCCTCTCTCCTCTTTTCCCTACAAGGGATTAAAGGAGGGAAGGGGCACATCATGCTGTTTTCCTGTCCACAGTTGTACATGTCTGTCAAACCCAGACTTGCTTTCAGTTTGGTCTTTGACTTGCTTTTCAGAGCATAGGGATGAAGTAAGGTGCCCGAAGAACTTGGGAGGAAAAGTTCCTCTGAGAGAGTCATGTTATTAAAATACATACATCACGGAAGGAATGACCCATCAGAATAGTTCCCTAAGAGCTTGTCATTGCGTTGTGATGGAGGTAACTTCTAAGAAGGGTGACGTCACCTCACGTGTCTCGTCCTCCATCTGAAAAAATGTTAACAGAAAGAGAAGAACAGTCAGTTTGCAATCTAGAACTAGTAGAGTCTTCAAGGAAGAATTCCACAGTGTGTCTCCAGTACCGCCCAGGGCTAAGGAAGAAGTTGCCCTAGACCAGAGAACATGAGCATCATGTCTCCTAAACGAGCATATCTGCACCGTGGAGAAGGGTGCACCTGGTGGCTCACTCCCCCTTTTCTGGTTTCATGCTCTCCAGGCAACTGTTTGATTATAATTAGGCCTTCCATATTGAATCTTCTACAGGGTTGCTGACCAACCTACACATGTACTTTGATGTGTTAGAATGGCTCCCTTTGTGAATTAATAAACTGGTGTTCTGGTTCATACCGCAGCTTTTTGTGAATTTGGTTGATGTGAATCAGTCATCCCGTATTTCATGATGTGTGAGACCACTGACGAAATCAGGTTTGGGACCGCTTTGACCCCACCAAGCTGCTGCCCTCACCCCACCCCCAGCCAGGCCTCACTCTTGCTGATTTCTTTCAAGTGCTTCTAGTTAATACCTTTTTACTTTAGTCTTTCAAACGTAAGCACCAATTAACGTATTTTCAAATTTCTCAAAAAGCGTTTCTTTTGCATCATTCACAGAGAAGTACCGCAAACACCCCATTCAGCAGAACGCTGAGCATAATGTGTCCGAGTGCAATACGACACATCAGAATTCGATGGTCCGCTGTCACCCGGCTTTCATATGAGGCGGTGTTCTGTCCTGGAGAGGACAGTGGTCTGGATCCACCTGGGACAGAATCGAGTTTAAATAGCTGTGGATATGGCCTTGGATAAATCACTCCACATTTGGGGCTCTGATTTCTCCATTTGTACAATGAAGGCGTTTGACAGGATGCTCTCCAAAGGCCCTTGTTGACCTTGATAGTCTGTGATTTCCTGCTCTTTCATTCCTTCATTCGACAAATATTCAAGGACTGAGAACTGCGTGCCAAACGCCAATGTGTTCATTAAACTTGAATCCCTATTTATATATTTTGTGAGTTAACTAAAATAAGTATATACATTACTACCCAGTAGATGCTCAACAAAAGTTAGCTGAATCTGAACCCGTGTTTATTCCAGAGCAGGGATTAGTCTTGTATCGAGAGTCCTGAAAGGAGGCCATAATAAATAACAATAGTGAGTGGGATTGAGGTTTCACGAACAAACAAATCAGTTCTGCTATTGTTAGCTAAAGGAGGGAAAGAGAGGAGACACTACAATTGTCCGCCTTAGGTTTGAGGAGGATACTGATTCGTGCCCAAAAACCCCAGTCGCTTCACATTGGAATGACTAAAGGTCTGTGGCAGTTGGTAAAAGTGAGCCGGTCTGGCCTGGTTGCCATGGAGACCACCCCTGACAAAGGCAGCAAAGGGGGGGGGGGGGTGGCTTTACACCTCCCGTGATTGGTCTTCCCGGTGGCAGAGAAAGAAGATCCTGGGCCCACAAAGCTCCAAGCCACAGTTAGCCTTTTTCCCATGAGCTCCAACACGACTGGATTCCTCACGAGCCCCCTGCAGCGCTACACACGTGGGATCCCTCAGCCCACCCGAGAGCCCGAGCCTTCGGAGCCAGGGCCTCGCTAGACTCTCCCTAGGCCATGTGCAGTCGCCACGGAAGAATCATTCGCTTTCGAAATCGCTGTAGCTACTTAACCTAAATGGGCGGAAACATGCTGCTGCAACATTGTGGGTGGCATGAAAACAGAGTCCTGCTGAGCGAAGAAAACTGTGTTAATGCAGTGCAGTCATTGTAACTTGCCACTTAAGGAGGCCTGGCTTTGGTTCTTGGGAAGAGTAGCTGTTTTGTGATGGCAGGAACAGAGTACTGTCCAGTTTGCTCTGTCAAGGGAAAAAGAAAGGCTTTTCCCCCTGCTCTCCTAACCCATGGCAGACCAGTTCACAAAGTCGCTTAATTCGCATTTCTCAACAACTCCCGCTCTGAACCATGGAAGTGTTACCCCGGTGGCCATCCCAGTCCTCCCAACCCTGGGACCGCAAATCGCCTAGAATTCCTACCAGGGATGCTCTCATTGACAAACAGGCGGACCGACTCAAGACCCTCAGGGAGTCTGGGAGGCAGAGTGGCAGGCAAAGAACGGGGGGGGGGGGGGGGTTCTGCAGCCGCCGGCTCCCGGCAGGCACTGGGGAGGGAAGGCATGGGGAACACAGCTGCGGGTGCCGGGCTCCGGCTGTCAGCCCAGCTGCGGGCACGGGGGGCCTTCCCGATGGGACACCTGACTTGTAGAGCCAGCGTGTCAGTGTCAGCGGGCACATTTCCGCTCGCTCGCTGCCGCTGTGCCCGCAAAGGCGCGCAGGGCTCGCGGGGGCCCGCGGGCCACTCGCGAAGCTGGGAGACCCACGGCAGCGGCGCTCCCCACCAAGCGGTGCAGCCGTGGGGGGCCAGGAAACCGGTTTCAGCGGCTGGCAGGCCTGTCTGAGCAAAGCGCTCAGGAAATCCGGGCTCTTTCCGAATCTGAAGCCAATGCCATCTAGAAATCTCATGGTTGAAAGCCACAAAAATCAGCATGCTCCGCACACTCTGGAGGCTGCCGAGGAGTCACAGGAGGCAAGAGACTGTGGAGTCCCCGCCCTTTCAACCTATCCAGGTACACAGACCACGCGACTCATTGTCTCCGACAGTACTTTCAAGGCAGACCCTTTTTACCCTATCCTTGAAGTTATGGCTTGCCTGGAGATTTCCAGAGTTATTTCAACCTCTAGCAGCCTTTTTTTTTTTTAATTTTTTTTTT